CGAACAGTTGGAACATTTTTTGATTCTTGGCAAGTGGCCAGGACATGGAGGAAGCATCTCAAACAGTGGAGGTGGTCCATGCATGATTAGAGCACTGTGTGCATGCCTGTTTTTTCTTTGTGGCTGCTCGGTCAGGCAGACTTTGGTGGCGTGAAAGTCAGGAAGACTGTCACTTTCAGGCGACCTCTTGACGCAGTCAGGGCCTCATCATGTTTGCTATTGCATGCATGCTTGACTTTGCGTGAGTGAAAACCTGTTGCCAAGAACAGTCCTGGAGCGTGGCAAGAACTGTTTCGCACGCAGCAGGCGCAGCTACAGCCAAGGAAACCCCATTATGCATCATGCATGATTTTGCTTACTGGCAGGTTTCTGAGGGAACGCTACGCCGACTAGAGGAGGCTGGCTGGTGGATATATATTTTTTTATGAAGCCGAAACCATGCATGCGCATTCATACACGCATGTCATTCACGCATGGTGTTTTAACGATCTTTTGTTCCTGCCTAGTGCAGGACAAAGACATCAGCCAAGTGCTGTCATCTCTGGCAGCTCTGGCCCCGAGCCAGGACCAAACACATGCATAGCACATGCACCCATTGCCCATTCATGCATGCATGCCTGCATTCCTGCATGCATACCCCCAGGATCGTGTGTCCAATATCCCCGAAAAAGAGCGGATCCTCAAAGTGCAAGCGAAGAAAAGGTTGGAGTTTGCATGCATGAACCCTTTTTGTTTTTTTTCATGCATACGTGGTATTAGCATTTTCCTGTTTGCCTTTCAGGCCGATTCAAGGGGTGGAGAAACCGAAAGACCTGCGGCAGCCTGAACCCTCACAACCCTCCAGGTCGTCAAGGCCTCCAGAGCCAAAGTACCCACCCCGCCCATCGGCAAAGCAAGCAAAACGCACTCCTCCAGCACCACCCCCAAAGCCGCCAGTTCTCCCAAAGCCCTGGTGGCCGCCGCCCCCGCCACCAGCTGTGAAACCTATTGGGGGTGCAAAAGCACCAGCGGCGAAATCGAACCCAATGGACCTGGGGTCAGTGCCAAAATTCATACAACCCAAGGCCCTTCATGACGTGCATTCATGCATGCATGTCGCATTATTTTTTAAAATGAATAATATTTGCATTGCTGGGCAGGCGCCCAATCAAGCACAACCTGGACAGGCTCACCACTCAGCACAACAAATTCAAAACTTCATGCCGGCCTAAAAAAAAAATGTCAAAACCTTAGGCCCCGAAGGCTGCTGAAGCTAAGACTCCTGGGAGTCCACCACCTCCAGATGCTCACCACTTAGCGAATGATATTCAAAAGTGTCTCTTAAACATGCATATCATTGTGTCAAACCTTAGGCCCCGAAGGCTGCTGAAGCTAAGACTCCTGGGAGTCCACCACCTCCAGATGCTCACCACTTAGCGAATGACATTCAAAAGTGTCTTTTAAACATGCATATCATTTTGTCAAACCTTAGGCCCCACCGAAGGCTACTGAAGCCAAGCCTGGTGCACCACATGTTGCTGAGGCGGCCTAAGATTTTGTTCTTAGCTGCCTCTCTTTTGGAAGGGTTCAAAGTTTGCATTTCGTTTTTTGTTTGGAATTTATTGCAACATGTTCGCCAGGACAAAGGTTCCAGCGGAGGACCAACAGAAAGCACCCAGGCAGTCGAAATTTATGTCTCAGCATAGAACAAGGATGTCTTAGTCTGCTAGGCAGAAAACTCTATGAAAGCAACGCAAGAGCATGAAGAGAAAGAGGCTAGAGCAAAAATGACAATTTTCTGTCATGTGTGGAGCTGTGAGGGCCTTGTGGCCAAACCATTAATTTATTGCTGGTGAGTTGTGAGGCCAGAAATATGGAACCAGCCGCGCCAACTGAAGTGCAGGGCCCGGATTGCTCACCTAATATATTCAAAACATGCATGTTCCATGGACTGATGCGTGCATGTTCCATGGACTGATGCTTGCATGTCATGTTGCTTGCAGGAGGATGTCCCGCCACTTCCAAAGTCGAAAGTTCCACGCACAGTTTTCACCAAACAATATTGAGATCTGCCTCAGCAGTGGAAAAAGATACTTTTGCGTCCATGCATGCGAGGCAGTGCATTCATGACCATGCATGTTCTGAACCCATGCACATGCACATACACTTTTTCGTCTGCATCCATGCATGAAAACAATTTTAAGTTCATAATTTTGCTGTGCAGGTACATGGCGCTGTGGGCGACAGAGGCCATGATGGAAGGCCCGCTCCTTTGATGCACGCATGGATTTGCATTAATTTGCGCATGCCCTAGCAATCATGACATGTCTGTACATGCATGCATTACTTGAAGTCATTCTAGCTCAAGCCTGCTGCTGGTTGGGAACAATATATACATATATACTATAGATTGTATATATATATATATATATATATATTATATATATACATAATTCATTCACACGCATGCACAAGCACAGCAAGGCTTTGCATCCCAAGCGTGCATGTGTCCACTTAGTCAGCATGCCCTTCCCGGAGCGTGGGTCGATGCTCCAGCTGCTTGTGGATTGCCGGTTGCCGAAGGCACCGCTGATTTTTGCAAAACGTGAAGTGTCAACACTGATGCATGGTTGCATGTTTGCCATGCTTTTCTTGTGCATGAGGCAATGATTGCAATAGTGGGATCCTGAGAACATATGTGTTCAGACTGCATGCATGCATTGGTTTGCTATTTTTTATGGGCTCAGGTGTTACTCATGCAATGGAATGCCCATTTCGACTGGGAAAAGCCAAAGTTCCAATTTGTGGAGCTGTTTTCTGGAGCTGCCCATACTAGCCGTGAATGGCCATGACCTGAGATCTGAAATCTCATTGCATGCATGTTTAAGTCATTGTCCATCCTCAGGAAGCGTCGTGGATTCAATGTTGGACGCCTTGATATCATAGTTGGACAAGAAGCTGGTTCCCCGGAGTCTCATGACTTTTTGTCTACACCGGGGTTTCTGTCATGTGCTCAGCAAAGGCATGCATGGTTCTGTGACTTATACAGTGGCTGCATATAATCATCAGATTGAGATCTTTTTGGTCTGAGGGTCGCCTGCTTTGCTGTGTTGCAGCTTGCCCCTGGCTGTATCGGCCTCATAGCTCCTGATTGCCGAAGTTGGGGTACCCCATCTCGGGGAACTTCGTGGAGAACAATCATTAATGTTCTTGGCCTTAATGGAAGGGACTTTGTGCATTGTGGAAATCTTATGGCCTCTCGGAAACTTGGTGTGCATGCAGCATGCATGAACAGCTCGATGTTTCAATACCAATCACGCATTCATGCATGCATGCATTTTTTGACTAAGGGTCTGTTTGATATGCTTACTTATCCTCAGCCAACACGCGATTTTTGTGGTGGAGCAGCCTCGGCAAAGCCTCCTCTACAGTCACTATCGTTGGCAATGGCTCCAAGAGCGGGTTTGCTGGGTGACTTTGCTATGCCAAATGGCGCACATGCATATTTGATAAGCATACATGCTTGCTAGAGCTGTACCTAGGTATATGAATGTAGCCTGTGGCTGATGAAGTATGGATGTCCATCACCAAAGAGACTCCTGTTACGCAGCAACTGGAAGCATATTTGGCACATGGATCTGGGCAAGCTTCCCCAAGAAGAACGACTTCGATTGACCACGGTAAAAACCACCCGTCTTTAGCTCAGCTGAAAGGGATGAGCTTGCTCATGCTAAAAGCTTGTGACATGTTTGAGGTCGCAAAGGTAAGAGCTGGAGCGGAACAAAAGATCTCCGGACCACTCAGCTGGGACCTTATGGTTACATATTGCCGCATGCAAGTTGGAAAAAATGCCTTCATGTGCAGGGTCTATCCGCCAGCTTTCGGACAACGTCTTGTCCGACTATGGTGTGAAGCTGAACCAGAACAACAGCTGTCGCTGAGGACCGTTAATTTTGTTGGCTTTGAAACTCATGCATGCAGAAAACATTTGCATGCATGGATTATAAAATATATCCAATTAACATCATGAATATCATTCACAAAATTTGATACATGCATGCATGCACATCTCAGGAGGAAGCCTGTTGTTGCACCTGGCTCCACAGACAGGGAGGTCTTTCAAGCCCTACCCCTAGGGGATTGCTGGGACGATGCGGAGTTATATACTGTATTCCATTACCTCTGGACAAGTAGTTCTACCCATGTGCCAGACACATGGCTGGAAGTCATGACTGATTTTTCAAATCGATTTAGAGATGCTGTGGTGGGCGAGCCTGACCTGGTGGCTCAATACAATGATGCCCGTCAGGGCAAATTTTGACACTAGTCGAACGCTTTCCACGTGAAAAAAAGATTGGCCTGCATGCATGATGTCAGAAAGCCTATGACTTTGAGTCCAAACTTTGAAACTGCAAATATAAACAGCTAACTCCCTGTCATTTGTGAGAGCAAACTTTTCAAGTGCCTCGGGACTTTTAGGGGCTAACTTTTAGACTAAAACTTTTAGAGCATAATTTGCTGAAACTTTTAGAGCCCAAACTTTTAGAGCGCAAACTTTTAGTCGACGATGTACTTTTAGAGCGCAAGGTTTTAGACTAAAACCAAAACTTTTAGAGCGCAAACTTTTAGACCAAAATGAACTTTTAGACCGATTTCGGCACATTTTAGAAAAAGTCAACCCGCAAACCGAGCGCAAAAAAAACGCAAACCGAGCGCAAAAAACCGCAAACGGGCGCAATCTCAAAAAGTGCTCGATTTTGGTCCCGGTTTTGTGTCTAAACATGATCAAATTCAGAACTCGTTGGCATGCATAAGGTCTTTTGCTCAATTGCCCTCCAATAGAAGGTATGTCCAAGGAGGCATTAGACGCTGGTCTATCTCTCCTCCGGATGGGATCCACTGAATCCACAATTGCTTTGGATGACCAAATAAAGGCTGGGATAGTCATGCAGCCTGGACAATTTCATGCATGCATATACAATGCCATTTGTGCTTGGTATTACATTTTCTGGCAGGAGAAGATGGCCAGAATTGCTCAAATGCAAGCAGCTGTGGATGAAGCTGAGAGGAAGTCTGTTACTTCTTCACCAGCCTCCAGTGCTCCTGCAGTGCCAGGCACGCACTGGCTTCTTTTGCACGCATGAAAATATATGCATGCATGGCTTATACAATTTGTTTTTATGAGGCCGTATCTACGTGGCTTCTTCCAATAGTGGCAACTTTGCGCCTGGTGCGCCGGCACGGCGTCTTCCTAGTGCTTGCTCTTTGAGCTGGTCCGAGTGGGTGCCTCCACTGCATTGACTCGTATATATGGCCACTTCCAAGCTCATGCATATATTAAAAAAAACAATCCCTGCAGCATGCATGTGCTCTCTTACATCGCACGCATGGCAGTTTGGAGTTGAACCCAGGGTGGTTGTCGTCAGCCAGATGAGACACCGGATCGGCCTCCAGCTGGTGATCCTGGCCACCTGGGTTCTGACTTTGTGGACCTGAATGAGAAGCGCATTCTTTTGGAAGAGTTGGAGCGAGAGGCAAAGCGCCAAGAGGAGGAAGTCCGTCTTGAGACTCTGCGGGTCAAGGAGTTTGAAGCTCGTCAATCTGATGAAGCTGCGAATGTGGCAGAACATGGTGCTGAACTGCATGAAGAACAGCAGAAGATAGAACGTGAGCATGAAGCTCTAGTCAAAGCATATGAGGAAATCAAGGCAAAGCAATTAGCTTTGGACAAAAGACGAGAACAAGCAAAGGAGGAAAACGCCGGCAGGGCTGAGGCTGCTCGAGCTTCTATGGAAAAGGAAAGGGGAGAAGCTGAACGTTTGAAAAGAGAAGAAATCACTCGCAAAGTGAATGCTGCTCGCTTGGAAATGGAAAAGAAAGCTGCCTTGGAAAAGGAAGAGGCAGCTCGCAGAGCAGATGCTGCTGCTCGCTCGGAAATGGAGAAGAGAGCTGCTTTGGAAAAGGAAGAGGCAGCTCGCAAAGAGGAGACTGCACGCATGGAAATGGAAACAAAAGCTGCGTTGGAAAAGGAAGAGGCAGCTCGCAGAGCGGAGGCTGCTGCTCGCTTGGAAATGGAGAAGAAAGCCGCTTTGGAAAAGGAAGAGGCAGCTCGCAAAGAGGAGACTGCACGCATGGAAATGGAAACAAAAGCTGCTTTGGAAAAGGAAGAGGCAGCTCTCAGAGCGGAGGCTGCTGCTCGCTCGGAAATGGAGAAGAAAGCTGCTTTGGAAGAGGAAGAGGCAGCTCGCAAGGAAGAACAAGCCCGCAAAGCCGCTTTGGCTCTACAAGGTGAGTTGGAGCAGGAAGAGCTGGCTCAAAAGCGTTTGGTGAGAGAGAAAGAAAAAGCAGCCTACAGAGCCCAGCAGGAGCGAGAAAGGCAGCTTGCAGGACAGGAAAAGTCAGCGCCAGCTGTTGCTGCTTCTGAAGCCAAGGATGATGAAGAAAAAAACAAAAGTGGTGCCTTGAATGCCAAGCGTGCAGAAGAGATGTTGCTGCTGGAACAGCAAATGGCTTTCTTTCAGGAAAAAATACGGCAATCCAAGGAACAAGCTTTGGAATTGGAGAAAAGAAAGCTCGCAATCATGTCAGAGCGCAGCGAAGCAACAGCCAGGGCCAGGACACTATGTTTTCTGCATGCATGCATGCATGCTTTTTTCCATATGACATTTACATATGTTTTTGCAGGACGGAGATTGAAGGCTCACCTGCAAAGGCTTGTATGTGCATGCATGCTAGCAAACTCAATGCAAATGGGATCAGCCGAATAGCCGTCCATATCATGCATGGACTAAATATCTATATATATATATAAATATTATATATATTATATATTGATCATGCAGGTCAGTGATGAAACCGCTGACACCCAGCTGGATGAAACTCAGCAGCCGCCTGCACAGGAAGAGGCAGGAAAACCTCATGTGGCAACCCTCTGCCTTTTTTAACCTTGCCGACTCGAAGTTCATGCATGGCTAGACCTGAAGGTGACAGAGCTGGCACTGCCTGCAAAAAGACAGAAGATGGATGCTGATGATTGGAAGCCTGGACCTTGTACAATTTCACAAAGCCTGTTCTGACAATGTGGGCATATTTTTGCTTGCCTCACAAGGATCCGGCGTTATGCCCAGAATGTCAAAAGAAGTAGCAAGGAAGTTCAGGAGATGTATGAAAAGGACAGCAACTCCAGCTGCTGGGGTTGCAAAGATCAATATACATAAATATATATATATATATACATATTGAACACATAGCTCACCGACAGGGCAACCCTGCTCGTCGGTAGGGCAAGGCTCACCGACAGGGCAACCCTGCTCGTCGGTAGGGCAAGGCTAAGTTGTTGTGCATTCATGCATCTGCTTTATTTATTATCCTTCATGTAATATGAACGGTTTTTTTCATGCATGCAAAATCAACTGAGGGGCGGAGCTCAAGAATTTTTTTTTGGAAAGCGGTGGAAACTTCGACCTGGTTGAAGTGAAAGTTAAGAAATGGACCGAGTCCAAGAAGACCGCCACAGACACAGAGAGCCGCGTGACAAAAAGGCAGCTGAAGGAAAAGTATTTCTGGGATGACGTCAGGGCCTGATTTGGACCAAATAGGTGAAAGTTTTAAAAGGGATGACACTTGTCCACATTCAGTCTGTTCGCCCAGGACATGATCGAGAACACGTGGAAGTGGGCTCGTGACAACGGCAAAATCATAAAACACCCGATCTCTGGTGGAGAATTTGTGGACATTGACGTGGAACACCTCTTGAGAAAGACCAATGAAACCGGGTCTAGGTTTACGCAAGGTGCTGGTACCCACTACGAGGCCTGGAAACAGTTTAAGTTGCAACAGACGTCTGTAAGACCCGCACGGCAGCCTTAGAGAGGAGAGCCAAACTGACAAAGAAAAAACAATTTGTAAAGCCGAGGCTGATAGATATTATATATTTAAAAAATGAATTATAATTGTATCTAAACCCATTATATATTATATGCTATGTCGTAAAACTGGATCGATATAGGCCTTTTCAATTTTTGCTGCATGCATGCATGTGTGGTGATGCTGCAAGTTAGCTGCCCATATTACTTGGCAACCTGACTTCTTTGACAGGATGGCTCTGGTTCCCTATTGGATCGCCCAGATTTTGCTGAGCCAGCAAGGGGGGCTTTGGAGGCCATGACCCCGCCGGCTGAGGCACCCAAGTGCCCTGACTTGAGTTGCTCAGGCATGCCCGCATGAGTGATGTTTTCCACATGAAAGCTGACATTCATCAAAAAGGTGTGTTCATGCATGGATGGGTGCATGCACAGGTTTTTTCTTGTGTAACATTTTTGACCAAAGATGCAAACTTTCAGGCATTCATGCATGCACACATGCTGAGGTTGAAGGGACCGCCGGAGAAAACTCCATTTCCGACTGTGTCTCAAACATGCAACCCATACCAAGTGCTGCCCCAGTTCTTGTTGACCTTGGGCAAGAAGATCGATTCGGCCAGTCTAATCAAGGCCAGTTTCTGGAATCTGTCAGAGATGACATATATTCAAAGAAAAGACAACATCTCAAGAGTTTAACTAAGAATATATATTAATTATATATGCCTCAGGACAAGTTGGAGCCCCACAAGGACGGCTCGAAGCGTTGTGAGGAGTGGGGGGGCCCAATGCCGCGTGCACACTTGTGCGGTTTTCCGGTTCATGTGTTTGGGTTCCCGAATGTGACCTTGACAAGCTAAGGCTGTACAATGGCATCTCCCGGCCATTGGCTGTGATGAGCACAGAGAATACAAAGCTGATAGAAATGCAAGCTGCATCTGTCGCTGCAGTTCCTTCAAAGTTACCCTGGCAACCATTGCTAAACAGTTTTGCTTACCTGTGAAACATTCATGAATTACCACAATCACTTGCCAGGGAAAGCAAAGATGTGCTCCTGGCAAGATTCATTGAAGTGTCCAAAGCTGACTGCGAGATGAACCTGTACTTGATTCGTGCCAAGCCTGGCCCTCAACCCTCCATGCTTTCCATGCATGTGAGTTTTTGCAAGCTCATGTAAGGAGCTGGAAGCCTCCTGAAAGTGAAGAGACCAAAGCGGCCAAAGCAGCGGAGAGGGCAGAAAAGGCAAAACAGAAGAAGAAAGTCAAAAAGGAAAAGGAAGAGAATCATGGTGCAGATGTCAAATCGGAGGACGACTCTGTGGAACCAAAGTGCCGCCCTTGGCACGTGACAAGTGACAAGCATTAATATATATATATATATTATATATACATATATATATATATACATATATCTATATATATGTAATTACAGGTATTTGAAAGATTATGTATGCCAAAAAAGTTTCGCATTCTGGTAAGGCCAAAAAAGGCAAAGAAAAGCAAGTGATGTGAATCCCTGCTACATGCATAAAGCATTCATGGCACTCGGGACCGCATGGTTTGGCATGCATGAGTCCACTGCGCCAATTTTGACCGACACTGCGCGGCACGGAGCAAGCAAAAGGTTGCACAAACTGCATGTCGTTGGGTCTTGCACTATCAACATTGATTGCCCCCTGTCTGTGAGATGGTTTGCTGCATGCATGTTTCACATGATTTGCATGTGCTCAAACTTGTTCTGACAGGTCTCATGGATGACCTTGAAGGTGCTCTCTGGTTTTACTTATCATTTGCAAGTCCACATGCATGCGTGGTGCCTGCACCCATCTCTGTTGCAGGCTATTCAGAACCATGTGCAGGTGTGGCTTTTAGCAATTCTGCTAATGCTAGCTGAGTGGGTTTCAACTATTTCAAGTTTGTCCATTCATGTCACGTTTGCCAAGAACTTGCATGCATGGTCATGCATGGGGTGCGGCAATAGGCATGAATATGTTATATATAATTAATATATGCACACACACACAAACACACACGTGCACATGCTCACGCATGCATGCATGCTCATGTGCTAAGGCTCCAAAGCTGGGCCTACAAAGGGGTCCAAAAAGAGAAAGCCGGAAACTGCTCTGCAGAACGCCGAGGGGAAAAGACATCGAGAAGACAAATGTGACGATGGACCCCGTGCTTGATTTTAATTTTGGCCTGGCATACGTTGCACAATTTCATGCATGGTGGGGCATGTATGGCTGTGCAAACTCTTTGAGGTATAGATTTGGCGACTCCGCATGGCAAACAGGAGACGACGCATGACTTGGACCACATTATGTTGGATGCCATGTTAGAAGGCTTTGACACCGGGGTTTCTTGTTGAAAGACAACAGGTTTCTTGTGTGCTTTGTGCATTGAGCATATCAACATGCATGGCGCGATATTTGAGGCTGATTCTGCCAGACATGTGGTATCAATGGGGCAATTGTTTTCTCGTTTGCGGACACCTTGCGGTGGCCACTTGTCTACATGTTTTAACTTGTTGACGGGCTTCTCGAAAATGATTGTATGATTGCAAGTGAGGCAGAAGCAAACTGCTGAGCAAAATGAAGAGTTGGTCATGCCAAAAAAATTGGTCGCGCAATCTTCACAAGCTCATCTTTAAGTTCAACATGACGCTTCCGGTCCGGATTGTGCACTTGGACCTCCCGGTCAAATGGAGAAATGAGCACGTAATGATGCCATGGCCAACCCTCCCTCCAAGCTCTTGGCTAGAATGTGTCTTCAAGAAGACATCTGGACAACCACTTCTTGGAGGGAACAAGCTGTCTCAAGTTGAAAGGTGGACTTCTATGCTTCGTGACTTCTGGGTTAAATTCAGAGCCGCCAGGGGTGATGGCCACAAAGTCTTTACAGACCATGCTGGTGAACTGCAATTTTGCGTCCCGGTGATGATACATGGAGATGAAGGGCGTGGGAAGTTACGCCGAGCAGTGATGGCTACTTCTGTCCAGCCTGCTATACTGCCAGATGGCCATGCAGGTCACAGTTTTAATAGCCGGCTTTTGCATTCTATAATGCCCGGGGAGCTCTACGAGGGTGACATGACAGTGCAGATTCTGCAAGATGCGCTGGTTGAAGACTTACGCGATCTTTATTCGAATGGGTTTGAAGTTCCTCGGTCGGCTGGTTAAGCGTGCTGCATGTGCACATGATGCGATCTCATGCATGGTCTGCATTTTTGATGTGGGCGTGTGTTGGCCACCGAGGTCAACACTGATGATGGAAGGGCCATGAAGTTGTTCATTGTCCTAGTTGGAGTCAAAGGGGATTGGGTGTATCTCCGCATCTGGTTTGCAAAATGGGGGCTGGCCTTGGGATATGTGTGTGTGCGTGTGTACAGAAAGCTGTTCACATGCGTGTGGGCTGCGTGCATGCGGCCATTGAGGCAAAGCTCATGCTTTGCTGAGCGGGTTCACCAGCACTCGGAAGTGTCATTTCTGTTCCTCCCGTGAACCTTGACAACTTGATGAGCTAGGTATTCATGTCGCGGTTTTATATTTCATAAGCTTGCACGAGTGTTTGTGCTGACTTGCGCAAGTGAGTATGTTCAAAAGCACGCACGGGGTGTGATCCAAGGATTGGTATGACATGAAACTCACTGCTGCTTGGAGGCAAGAAAGGCCTTGGACCTCTGCTGTTCGAGACCCACCACCCAGCTTACATTCCCTCCCCGGAGGGCACCCTTGTGAGAGCCCTCCGGACCAGATGCACACGTGGCACCATGGAGTTGGCAGAGAATTTTGTTCTTCAAGCATTGTGCCTTGTCTAATCAATATTGTTTCATTCATGGCTGTTTTATTGCTTTTCACTTGCACGCATGGTCGACATACTTGCATGCAAGAATATCCAGGTACTTCTAGCATGCAGGTGGCATGTTTTTGCTGGTCGCAAAAATGAAGATCGGCTTGCTGCAGCCTATGATTCATTTCACAACTGGTGCGTGGCTGAGAGAAAAAAATCCACCCTGAAGAAATTTGAGCTGAAGACGTTCAAAATGTCTTCGTGCTTTGGCTTTAAATCATGCATGTTTGTGCACGCATGCATGACCATGTTTTTATTTGAAGATATATATGTGGCATCTCAACTTCACTCTGACTTGTGTTGGGGCTGCTGAACCTAGGCTTCAATGTTGGCCAGGGGGGTGTGGAAAGGCCCATGACACCACTGTGCTATGTCAGTGGATGCTGTCAGTTGTGACGTCGCAACTCCGAGATGGCCATGATTCTGAGCTCAAAAACACGCATGAATGGAAGCAAACAGTCGATGTTGCTGTCTCAGTTTTGTTTTGCCATGCTTTAACATCAAACCCCACGCTCAGAAAGCTCCTGCTGATGGTCTGGCACTTCTACGCTGGACGTTGCAAGCTGTGGATCGGTATTTCACGACTTTAGGAACAAGAAGGCTTTGGCTACTGAGAAGCCAGGCTGTTACATGTGTTCGGAGCTGCCAACAGTTCACAGAAACATGGCAGCATGCAAGCCAAGCTATGAGTGGTGCTTTGTGTACAAGCGCGTCCATGCATGCACATGACATGTGCTTGTGTACTTAGGAGGGTATCAGTGCTCTCAACAACTTCTGTGTTTCCCGTTCCTGGAAACTTTACAAGACCAAGCCGAAATTGCACATGCAACAAGAAATACAGTGCCTGTGGCAGCCAAGTTTGTTTCAGCTTTGGACCAACCACTTACTCAGTTTACTTGCTGAATTGCCTCAGCCTAGGGAGTTCATCAATGACCAAATCAAAAATGGCGCCGAATATGTGTTCAACCCGAACCGTTGCTTGCCTGTGAATTTTTATCGGTATCTATGCATGTGTGTGTGTCCGTTGCTGACAGCCAGGTTTTGCAACATGGCAAGACGAAGACTGGATAGGAAGGGTGCCTTGGCATGCATGCATGCATGCATGTTTGAAACCCCTATGCATGTTCATGTGGTTGATGCAAACGCCTTGTGAATGTTT